CGGCGGCGGTGGTGGTGGTGGAGGACGCCAGGCCCCGCGGCCGACGTCACGTTGCCGTTCTGGTCGCGGCCCCTCTGCTTGCTTCGGCCCAGCTGCTGGTTCTTCTTCTTGGGGCGCTCATGGTGGGGGCCCGGAATGTTGCCGCACCGCTCTCCGCCTCCTCCTCCCATGATACTTCACTTTGATTGTCACCTAAGCACGCAGGTCCGGACGCGTTACTTTCATTCCACTTCATAATTTCATTTTTGATTCGAAAGTAACTCCCACCCCCTTGCCTGCCAGCGACAGACGACAGTCACCTTACATTTGCATCGTATGTTGATTTATTTCTTCGTGTCTATCAACCCTTTGTCACGTTTGTTAAAAAGTGTGATTTGTTGACACCTCCGCCGCCGAAAAAATGTATATGTTTGCCGGCAATGAGTTGATCTAAAAACAGATTTTGAATAAAAAGTAGTCATTCCCATTTCGTCGGTTTTCAAGGGACGTACTTTTTTAACAATTGCGTAACAAATCTGCCCGTCCTTCGCCTACGTGCGGAAGCTCAAGCAGCGCCCGCCGCCCCCTCCCCCATCAGCGACGAAAACAAGCCGCAGGCACGCACCTCTTTGTTGCCACCAAGTTGGCCAGGAAGAGATCCCTCTTCTTCGTCCTTTTCGTCTCCCTTGCGCCTTTTTTTGACAGCGTCCTCCGTCTCCGAGAACAACAGCCGACACCAATGATGTCGTCGCCGTCGTCGGGTCGACTACTGCTGCTACCAAGCGGTGTTGGTCCCGTCGAGTGTGCCGGGCTGGCGGTCGTCGAGTGCCAATGGGCGTCGCTTGGTCGCGGAGCCGAGCTGAACATGAATTCACCTCGGCGCACACGATACACCACGAAGCCGCGGGACCTCAAATTAACGACAATCATTACCGTTACACAATTGGCCATTTCGACGTACATTTCATGTTGTGACGTCGTTAAATGCCATTTCATACCGGACATTACTTTCTGCTGTGTATGTTACGACGTGTTAATTAATCGAGAAGTAAAGCGATAGAGTCGTTCAGTTCGCCGTTTCTGTTGTCGGGCGACATACTTAGACGGGGAACAAAAACAAAGACGCTTCGGCTCTGAAACGGTGATCAGGAGGAAAACAAATAAGTCTCTCACCGACTTCTTCAGGCTCGATCGTCGAAGCCTTTCGTCCGGTTCGTTGTTTCGGCGAAACAGATATCCCTCTTTCGTATTCCCCACAAATTCGGTTGGTGGTGACCCAAGTTGATGGGAAAACAAAACTCCGTGAAGCTATCGCCTCCTTTCACTCTCGTCTTCTTTTCCGTCTGCGTCTGATTTGCTACAAAATGTCGCCCTCAGCTCGTCCCTGTTGCTGATGGCAGGCCGCCTCCGACCAATCACGTCGCGAGCTTGGTCGGCCCCGGCCAATCAGCGACGAGAGAGACGGACGCGTTCACTCTTGTTGCCAGATGAGTGACGTCAGTGACCGACTTGTCTTCGCCTTTGTGCTTTCCGCAATTTCCTCATAGAGAAGGCAAGGCAGAAAACACGAAAAGCACACTACACGTCGAATGTACAAAGCTGTTTCGCTTTCTGAAATGTTTGTTAGGTAACGCAACGGGATTATACAAGCAGTACGGAAAAGACACGATAAACATCGGATTAAACCTTATGTAATGTCGATCGTTTGTCAAAATCGGCCACATTTTGTTCAACAAAACTATTTGAGGAGACAAGGCGTTGGAGTATCTCGGACGTTTGTTTGTTCCCTTTTGTGTCGAAGCAGCAGCAACAGGCTCGAAATGAAACCCTTCACCCCCCCCCCAACTCACCAAAATGTTTGACTTTTTGGATACAAGTCAAGCAACTGCATTCTCCTCTCAGAAAATGCCTTTCCTTCTTCTAGATGACGTCGGAATGTCCGAAGCACTCTCCCGCTATAAGCAAGCGTGTAATAAGTAGCTAATTGATACTAAATGTCAACATTAATTGATTATTAAATATATATATATTGTGTGTGTGTATGTGTGTGTGTGGTTTAATTACCAGTGAAAATAGATCATACAGTTTATCATTAAAATATCTCATTTTATGCAAGGTGGCGTGACCCATGGTGTTGTTAGCAACCTTTTGCAGGGTGACTTGATTAGACTTAAATGTTTTGAGCAAGACACGAGTCAGGTTTGGCACGAAGAGGTAATAACAATTAGTTAGAATAGACTGGAATGTCATATTTACTGTACCAAAAAACGCATGACCTCAAACCAAAGACATAAAATGGACCTGTGGACTTAACAAACGAGACTCCCATTTTCTCAAAGGTATTTTGTTTACAACGATGCCAGTGGACAATTTATAGTCTCCGGTAAACCAAACCTGCATTGTTTTAGACTGTGGGAGGAAGCCGCAGTACCCAGAGAATCGCACGTAAGCAAAGGAAACTGTTTTTCAGTTGGTTGCGTCCTGCGTAAATGGTATGTTGGTATGGGACAGGAAGTGTAACTGCCTCACGCTCCGGCCATGCGAGTCTACTCAGTCATCAGAACAAAAACATAGCTTCCAAACAGCTTGCCACCGTCAGTTTGGGAAGCCCACGTTATGTGTACCTCTTGTGCTACTCTGTACATCACGGCTAGTATGACCTTGAGCTTCTTTGCGCTGAAAAAAAAACAGATCGATGTGTCACAAGATCATGATTTGTCAGCCATGAGTGGCTTTACTCCACTAAAGTGCATAAGTGGATTTGTAAAAGTTGCACAACAACTGAGCACACTGTCAGGCTGGGGGCAGGGGGAGGCGGAGTCAGCAAATCACCAGTCCCAAACTATGGAAGGAAAGTAGGTCAGCGGCAAGACCTCCTGCAGGTCACGTCGATCCAGCAGAAGGCCACGTCACCATATTTGTCGACGTAAACATGACACCGAGAGTACAAACACACACACACGCACACAAAACCATGTCACTTAATTCATAAAGCAAAAAGATGACACACGTACCAACTTTTCCCTCCCAAGTTCACTCGAGGGCCTCGCTATGTGACGTCCTGTTGACTGCAAGTGTTCCATTGTTGGAGAGGCGTAGAAACTGTTTGAACGCATTGTGATTTCGTAGCATGCTCAGACAGAGGTCCTCAAGGACAAGTGATTCGAAAAAAAATGGTCCGTCTGTCACTCAAAACAACAACATTAAGGGTTTACTCTGTATCTCTGTTTAAAGGTCATGGTTGAGTTCACATTGGTTTCAGTAAGGGAACAAAATGCAAAACAAACATGTTTTTCTTTTGTGTGAACAGGAACCCATTTCATGACATTTGAAATGAAAAAAAAAATGTTATGGCCGTAAATTCTCAGATCAACAAAAATAAGATATGAGGGTGAAACTCTTGTGTTTTTAGCAAAGGACAAGATAAAGAGTTGAATAGTGGAAAAGCCCAACGGTGTCATTTCATGTTCCGAGAATAGCAGTGGCATTTGGTTGAGTTTGAAGAAGCTGGGAGAGGCTGTTTAAATGCTGGCCTAAGTTGTTTGCATCACTGTATTCATTTAGTTGCTGCGCCGGTTTAATGGGGAATGAGTGGCCAGATTTCAAATCCCGCCCAAAGCGTAATGCGAAGAATGATGTTGATTAGCCACAGGCTGAGCTGCACTGTGTTTGTCTGAGGAACAAATGTCTGGCTCGAGAGCGGGGCAGCTACTTCCCACTTGCCTCCTGTCCCTGAACTCAATGGGTGTGAGAACGCCTTCCACCTCTACCCCGGTCCAAATGTTTCAACGCGAAAGCTCCCGAATGTAACGCGACACCTTTACTTTGCATCTTTGAACATGATTTGGAAAAATTCTTGAAGGCGCTGGGCAAAAAAAATTATATATATATATATATATGAGACACTAATGGCCCACTCCAATTAATGGCAGCATGATTTCATACCATCCTCTTACGTGCGTTTAGTCTATTGATTGCATATCGGGGAAAGGACCTCACTCGCTGATTACAAGTCAACCACCTCATGCGTCCACCAGGGGGGAGCCTTGTGAGTCTTCATTGCCTGGAACTGAACTGCAGCCGCTCGAAAAAGAGACAAAAAAGGGAGTTTGGTGACTCATAATATGTCTGGAGTTTTGTTGTTGTTGTTCTTGTTTGTGGGGGGGTAATGCATATGGACTAAAGACACGTTTTAAAAATACATTCAAGTCATTTTCTCCATAGCCGCCACGTGTTCAGCGTGATCATGATCTTTATATGTTTATTATCTTTAGATTTGGAGCTCAAAGCAAACATAATGTTTGCTTTGAGCTCCAAATGACTTTACATTCTGCCTGAAAAATGTCAATGTTCCCTCTCAGGTCTAAGTTCAATATTGACAGAGAGGACACGTAATGACATTTTCTGATTATTATTGTTGTTGTTGTCCCCCCCTCTCTCAGAAGGAAGCGTCCACCCTTAATTGCTGCACTGAGTGGAAAAGGTTGCGCTGGTTGGCGCCGATGAGGTTTGACATTTGGCTCTCTGCAATGTGATTACTTCTTACTTATCATATTTTATTGCCGTGCTCGCGAAACGTCTATTTTCAAACACAATATGAACTAGCCATTTTCCACAAGAACTTCTTTTCCCCATTTGAAATAGTCCATTCCAGGTTCAGTCCTAAAAAAAACGTTGACTGTACAGGCAATCTAAGTCCTCTTAACGGTCGCACAAAAACCGGTCCACCACTGATATTATCAACAAGTAAAAACAATTGTTATTCATCTATATATATATGAATAAAAATTTCTTTGTTTTAGACGAGGGAAAAGATTAATTCCCAAAATAGATTTGACGATTAGCTTATGTTTGATACCACTTACCTGCCCACCTCCACCTTCAGCCAATGACTTCGGTAAGGAGTTCAACTCAAACCATTACGCCAGTCGGCGTAGGGGGTGGGGGGAAACCCTCTGTAAAAGAACGTCATGAAAAGTTGAGTCCAGGGAAAAATAACAATGTGTTAAGGGAAAGCACTAAGAAAATGTCTGAATCAAATTTACCGGTGAATCAGAAAGGACAGCAAGCAAGAGGTTAATGTGATAACACCCCCGCTCTTCTTTGCTCATTGGTACGCTCCGCCATTGTGACGTTTGAAAAATTCAAGCAGACTCACTCGGCTCTTGGCTCTCAGACGAAGAAAAAAAAGAAAAAGAAAAAAAGCAGTTGTCGTGGGAAGCAAGACGGACGCCCGGCACCGGCACCAACACGGACTGAATTTTGTTTCTATTAGTTTGACAAGGCATTTTTTCGCCGAACATGGCCTGCGGGGCGACACTAAAGCGCTCGATGGAGTTCGAGGCCCTCCTCAGTCCCCAGTCTCCGAAGCGGAGACGGTGCAACCCCCTGCCGGGAACTCCCGGCACTCCGTCCCCACAAAGATGCAACAACCTCCGCGCCGCTGTCGACGGCCCGACGCACTCCGTGTCGCCGCAAAGCGTCGCAGGCGACAACAGACTCACGCCAGGTACCCTCCTATGCGACCTGATTGCTTTGTGTGTGTTCGTGTTTGTGTGTGTGTCTATGTGTTTTGGGGGTGGGTGTCACGGGGAGGAGGGGATTCGGGTGGAGTTGTTAGCTTGAATAGGGGTTGGAAGCTAACGCTTAGCTCGCTAGGCTAACATCCGCGAGGGAATGTCGTCGTTGAGTTATTGAGGAGTCCTGACCCCTATTCCGTCATGTGGCCATTTCAAAGCCTCTCGAACGGTCCTCACCGTCAAATGCGTGACCGTGAACTCGAAATCGTTTGTTCTCCTCAGATGCTTCATTCGAAGTAGAACATTTCACTTATCAATGTGGACAGTCATCACGTCTTCCTTCCGTTTGTTTTCGCTTATGTGTCGTCATATAAGATGTTGCAAAACGGCAATTAAAGGTTCGACATGTGAGAGCCGGCTAACAAGGATTGCAGGCTGCTACATTTGAAGATGGCACCATCAACTTGGATTGAGGTGGTGGTGGGGGTGTTCATTATTCCTTTCCTCCTGAGGGTGGGAGGGCATTGTTCATTTCCTTGATGCCTTTGCCTCACCCTGCTCCTCAATAAGCGGAGGTTCGGAAGGAGGAATTAAAGATGGAAACAGGAAGAAGGAACCCTTCTTCTCCGCAGCACATCCTTGAAATGGTCGACCCTCTTTGACGCCCTGCTCCACCCGTGGCCGGTGGTGTACGTCAGCCATGTTCAGCTCCGGTCCTCAAGGGCTGGTGTCTTGCCAGTTTTAGATGCGTCTTCTATGCCCCCAGCAACACACTGGATTCAAATGATCAGCTCACCAGAAAGCTGTGAATAAGCCTGAAAACGATCCCGATAATTTGAATCGGGTGTGTTGCAGGAAGGATGCATCAAAAACCCCTGAGGACCGAATTCAGACACCACTGGCGTGGATGAAAAAGCTTTGTAATTTGGCATCGTCCAGCTGTCATGAATGGTGGCGGTGTGCCGTGTAGAAAACAGAATGGCTCTTTGCAGAAATGTCGAAATCTTGACTCAATTAATTTCGACACTCAAATGCAATGAGTCTTTTGTCATTCTTCAAGTCTGGGTTTTGGCCTGTTTTACTGCTGCTTCTCGTGTTTTTCTTTTTTTTTTTTAAAGGGAGATTGTTGTGCCGTGACATTTTGCTTGTGTCAAATGTGCGAATTGCTCAATTCGGGTTGGGGAAACCTTGGTCTCGAATAGCAGCTTTCGAATGATTATTTGGACCAATCCCCGAGTAGTTCACCCTAAATGGCCGGCTTTCTGTTCAAGCTTTCCTTGCAATGACAGATTGTCAAAATGCCAGCTGTGGTTGGAATGGCCAACACACCAAGAATTGCGAGAACCAGGTATTTTTTTAAATTAATTTTTATTGAGGGCCTAAACATGAACAAAAAGTTGTCAAGCTTGGTATAAACGTCGGGCCTGGATGGGGTATGTTTTTGTGTGACGTTACATTGCCTTTCCGAAATGTTTTTTATTTCCCCCCCCTCAATCTATTCATGAACAATTTTGCAGCCTTTTAAAGTGCTCGTTATTTTTTTATTCTTCTGAATACTTATTGGAGACGTTTCTGTGCGTTTCGTTTCATGAGACAAGTTCAGCCAAGTTGACCGTTGCTGCGAGAGGCCCTCGCGTCAGTCACCTTTTTATGGTAACGCCTCTAACCTACCATATGCTCCGCCCACACGAGGTGTCATTGCCGTTCATTTGCCTGCTTCTGTATGGCTGAATTCTCCGTTCATGGAAATGCAAGGCACAGCAAAAGGGAGAGGTCCCCGCATGCCCACTGACCACTCAAATGCAGTAGCACCCGTGCATTCACATATTTGCAAAATGGCACTGTCCATTTTTGCCGTTCTCTATCCCCCGCGAATAACGGGGGGGGGGCCACTCTACAGTGAAATCTCAAAACCTGTGCATCATCGATCCTTTATGAATCCACGAAACATTTTTAACGTTCTAACTTGTGAACCGCTGTAACAAAGAAAATGAAAACAATTACACAAATCGAGGGAAATGATTGTGTCGCGGGAGGCGAGTCTCTTGACAATGAGATCGCAACGCCTGCCCTTTGTCGCGCTCTCGTTGCGTCAGCCATCTCGTACCTTGCAACCAGGACAGACGTGTCGCTGTATGTTCCGTTTCCTGTTTGGCGGGTGACCCCACCCTTTTTGAGTATCATCGTAATGCCAAAAAGCCAAAGAAAAAGCCTCGAGACGCAATCGGCGCTCAGAATTTGTTGAAATTGGTCGGAAGATGGAGCAGCCCTCAAGCTGAGCGCGTGACCTCTGACGACGTAGCGCTCGAAAGACGCGTTGGCTTCGTCTGGTGGTTACGATGCATTGTGACTCCGATCCAATTTCGGGGCATGTCGCTTGAGGAACAAAACTCCCCTGCCGCGGCTGTCTGAATTGCAGCTCTTCCCAAATTCAGGATCGCAACCAAAACAGTGCAGCCTTTGAAGCAAACGATCGCCTTTTGTTGATCTGCGGTAACTTGAGCTGAGCCATCGTACGCTTCAGTACCCCACAACTTGGTTTTTTTTTCTCGTGCCCGAGCGCGCGCGCGCGCACACACACACACACACACACACACACACACGGTCTCTCTCTGGATATTCTCACAGTTCGGCCCATACGCCCTTGTCCAATCTATGTGCTGGATCTCATGTCTGCTTCATTGTTTGGTCAGCGTCTGAGGCCCTTTGCCAGCCCCGCCTTCCCCCCAAACTCCCAGGCAGCAGGAAGTGTCTGCGATGGACTGTTCAGCCTGCACATTGTTTCCGAGCAACACCCCAGAGTCGAGTCAGCGCGACTGATGAGGATGCAGTCCCAACGTTCACGGGCACATCTTTTTCACTCTTTTCTTTCTCTCTCTCCGTCTCTTGCTTCCCCCCAACCCCCCAACAATAGTAGCCAGTCACACGACCGCTTGCGGTAGATGTTGCACCCCTCACCTGTCAACAATCCTTCAAAGTTGAGTTTCATACAGGTGTCCCTTAGCATGTAAAATGAGGTTCACATGGTGCCAAATTGATGGGACTTTTCCACTGAACTGGCGCAAGGTTTGTTTTTACGCCAAGATCCCTCAAAGCCAAAACGCCCTTGCCCAGTGATTCCGTGAAATAAAATAGTTCGAGAGAGGGTGCAAACATTCATTTCTGATTTTACAGAATCGATGCAAAGTTGAATGTTTTTCATAGAGATATTGAAAAATTGTAGGGGGAAATTTTCACCGACTCTGCAAAATGAATAAATAAATAGAGACTCACAAAAGGTGTAAACATTACAGAGACCCTGCAAAATTGCTAAAAACACGTTGCGCAAACAACCCGCAAAATTAAGCTTCAAAAAAGTACATCGAAATTGTACAAAATGGGAGAGAAAAAAAAATCACACCAGCTCTCCAAAATGCAGAAAATATTTTTGATGAGATCCTGGAAAATTAGAAATATCTACAGGCAAAATATTATACTTAAAAAATGTATTGTACACATTCCTCAAATAAAACAAGACATCCAGCAAAATGTAAACATCACAGAGATCCTCCAAGTTGGGAAATGACATTTTTTTTTTTTTTTAAACACAGAGAGCCGTTCAAATTGGAAATGACGACTTTTCCAGGCACAGATCAGCAGTCCCCATTTGTTTTTCCAACTCGTTAGGAGAACTTTGAACCTTTTTAAAAGTGTGATGTTAGCGCTTGGGGGACGCATCCCGGGGCCCATTTTGGATGCGTTCTCACTCTTGTCTTCACAGCGGGAACACATTTGCATCGAATGACTTGAGTGACTCAGCGGAGTCGCCTCATGCTTGATGAAATGACGATGACGGAATGCTCCCAAGTCCTCATCGGACACGTTCATTGTTTTTGCTTGGCGTTCTACAGAGCAGATCTTCCAAAACCTGCGCCAGGAGTACAGCAGGATCCAGAGGAGGCGGCAGCTGGAGGGAGCCTTCAGCCAGACGGAGGCCTGCGGACCTTCCGACGTCTCCAGCCCTTCTTCATCCCTGCACGCCCCCAGCTCCCCACCGGGTAGGTGAACACGGCCGGCCGGGGCCCCGCCGCAGGGATCCGACAGAAAGCCTCTGCGGGCGCTGGCCCTCCCTGTCCATGTGATATTTCATGCAAATTAGCACTTGCCTTCCCACAAACCCCAATAAGTTTGTTTTTGTTTTGCTCGAGGGAGCCGTCCCCAAAGTGTTCATGGCCCCGTTTTCACATCTTTTGAAGCCCCGCGGCATAATAAACAGAAACAACCGATTTCTCACCTTTAGCTACGTTGGCTTCAACAAGCCCGCGTCGTTTGCCGTATTCCCGCAGTTATTACGATAGTAACGACACCGTGCCGCCTATGATGAATCAAGTTATCGCGAGCGCATGGTTTCTGTCTACGGGTTACTGGATTTAATCATTTGGCGATGGAGCTTCCCTTTGTTCCTCACTGCCATTGTGTGGTCCCGGTGTCGCTGATGTGACTGTGAAGGCTAACTGCCAAACCTCACGACATGACTCGAGCCCAGCTTCATGCCCTTTTTTGGGAATTCAAGTGTCCACCGCGCGCATTTGTTTCTTGTGTCTCCACAGTAGCCTGTTTCAGACGGTGAGAAAAGTATCCCAGTCCGAATTTGAAAATACTCTTTGGCTTGTTTTCGGCAGTCTAATGACAATGACTTAGTGGCTTGGTCAGGCCAGCGTATGACTGTAGGCGATGGCCTTAAACAGCGCTGCTCTGGACCCGGGCCACTGGACTACCATTAATGTCGATCCCTGTACCAGGATTGTGGGATTTTTTTAGTTTTTTTGCTTCACAATTACTGAATTTTGGCATTTTGTCGTGTTTTACAATTGCAGTGAGACTTCGTGGAAGGACTGGTTGTATTGCAAAAATGTCAATTTTTGTAAGCTTGTTTTTTATTTATTTTTTATTTTGTCAGGCGCCTCGAGACGGGACCAGCCCTCGTTTACGCTGAAGCAGGTGAGCTACCTGTGCGAGCGCTTGCTCAAAGACCACGAGGAGAAGATCCGTGAGGAGTACGAACAGATCCTCAACACAAAACTCTCAGGTAACTATGACGATGAGATTCTCGCTTGATACACTTTTCACAGTGTTTGGAAAGAAAAAAAAAAAGTACTCGTGTTTTTGGGGGGGAACCACATGGCACTCGAGACACAGGAGTCCAGCGATTGATTGGTCAATCGAGATTAACCCCTTTGGCTTGGGGACTTTCTCCACAGAACAATACGAGTCCTTTGTGAAATTCACACAAGATCAGATCATGCGAAGATACGGCGCCCGGCCTGCTAGTTGTAAGCACACCACCATATTCATTTGTTGAAATTGGTCTTCAAGCAGTCCTACTCACTGTCCTTTGCTTCTTTTCAGATGTCTCCTGAACGCACCAAAACAAGTTCCCACTTTCTTCCCTCACACACAAGATGGCTGCCCTTCGAAGGCCTTCTACCACTTGATTTGTCCCCCCCCCCGACACACACTCACAGTGCCATGATTTAACCGCTTTTTATCCAAAACTGTTGCTACTGGCCAAAACTCAAGACCAAATCTTGAGAGATGACCGACCTTTGTCCTGTTGCCCCCCCCCCCCCCGATTTCAGTTTTTTGTCTTTATTTTACGTTTTTAGTTTGTCGTCTCTTGTTGTCGCTGTCTCTTTCTAACTGAAAACGTGGACTGAAGCCGTGTCCGATCTCTGGCCTGGCGCTGTAGACTACAAAGTTTCTGCTTCTTCTTCTTGGCTCATGTGATAGAAGCTCATTGAAGTGAGCAGCTGTATTTAACACCTCATGTCGTCACTCCTCGCTCGCCCTGTCTCTCCTCCAACAAGAGAATGTGCTTTCCCCCC